TATATATATATATATATATATATATATATTCAATATATGATATTCAATAGCAGTATGCAGAAGTTGTGAATCTTCAGTTTTAATTGCTTGGGAAAAAAAGTGGGGCTGCTTTAATTTGCAGCAGAGAGATACTGCCTAAAGTACTTCTTCCAAATTAACTTTTGAAAGTCCATATATGCAGTTTTATGTCTGAAGTGGGAAGAGACTTAAATGTGATCAGTCTGGAATAGGAAAGAAATTAAGTGTGTTTATTTAGTAGTTAATTATATAGGAAAGGAGTTGAACTGTTAGTTACCATCCTTCAATTTCACTTTAAACCTTAAACCTTAAAGCAAAAAAACCTTAAACCTTTAAGAGGCTCCATCTTTTTTCTGGATTTGACCTGCCCACTTCCAGAGTACTTTACGAAGGCCTGTCCAATCACTGGCTCAGTAGAAGCTGCATGCTTCTTTGCAAACAAATGGCATTGGTTTGATTATGCATTGGATGACTGCCCATATTTTATTACCACATTTTGCTAAATTTACCATTACTTTAGAATTGTATCTCATATACTTCTGCTTATTTTCTTCCATTATACTTCCAGAGAACACAATGAGTACATTTTTGTTTTTTAGAAGCTATCTTCGTAGAGATCTCCTCATTTCAAAGACTAGGCTGGTTCCTAAAAAAGTGCTTTTCTCTTCCTTGTACTCCAAACTTTTGAAATCTCAGCCGTTTCTTTAGAGCTATTTAATATGGCCATTTTAAAATCTTGCTGCAGTTATCCTAAATTCTGTCCATTTTTTGTGAATTTTTTTCCAAGATCCCCAGAGAAGATCCATGGGTGTCCTGAAAATGCATTCACCTGATCATACCAGAAGCAAATGCAAAGAATGTTGAATTAGATCTAGAAGACTGGGGTTCAAGTCTGCCCTTCTGAGTAGTTTGAAGTCAGTCATATGCTTTCAGTCCAACCCACTTAGGCGGATCCTGCTAGGTATACTACCCTGAGCTGCCCTGGAGGAAAGGCGGGGTATAAATTCAGTACATGAACATTTTAACCAAATAAATGCACAAGCAAACTCCAAAGCAAAGGAGGAGAACAATGCCTCCTGGCTTAAAAACTGATGCTATAAATTAAATTTTCCCATCTGGCATTCTAATTCCCTGTCTTAATCCAACACTTTGGGAGGTGTTGAGTTGGGAATGGTTTATCCGATGCACAGTGCTATGATAATAATAATATTTTATTTCATCAAGCATGAATTAGATAACAGATATATGTATATACATAATATGAATATATGAAATGAATACCAATACAGGGGAATATTAGGACAGGGACGGTAGGCACACTGGTGTGTTTATGCACGCCCCTTAATCTCATGCTCATCTTCCCTGTTACTTTCATTGTTCGTTTATATTTCCCCAAAATCGTTTTGGGGGAAGTTTAGTTAGCCCGATTGTGTCGTCTGAATGTCGGATCATCAAAAGCTGGAAAGGCCAAGGGGGACCCCCGCTAAGCCAGATGCCGATTGGGTCCTTGGTCTCTTCCCCGCATGAACGCGCTGCCGAGGAAGCTGCTCTGGATTAAGGCCCGTTAATGAGCGAGGGTCCCACCGCAACTTTTTAAAAGGGGGAGGAGTCTTCAAACCCACCCACCCACCCGCCACATAACGAAATGTGGAGATCGGTGATGGTGAACTGGAGTTCACTTAGAACCAGTGCCCAGCACAGCCCCGTCGTGAAGGGAGAATGCAATTGTGGGTCCACCAAGTTCAAAAAGGGGACGAGGATCGGGGCCAGATGCCTTTTGTCGTTTTTGGCGACACGGGATGTGTAAACGGTCCCACCTCGTCCCCGTCACCAGCCGGTCTCCCCCCCTCCCCGCCACCAGCCCCAAATAAGCTAGCAAATCGCACGGCTGTGGCTTTGCGGGCGCATCGCCTTGTCTCTCTCTCTCTCTCTCTCTCTCTNTGCTTTTGAACAGCTAGGTTGGCAGAAGCTGGGACAAGTAACGGGAACTCACTCCATTACGCGGTGCTAGGGATTCGAGCTACCGACTTTTCTGATTGACAAGCTCAGAGTCTTAGCCACTGAGCCATTGCATCTCTTCTGGATAGAATATCTGTATATTATTCACCTTAAACTGCAGGATAGGGAAAGTTTTCGTCTCCTGCGGCCAATGAACAGTAACAGTGGAGAAGGGCGTTTTGTACACATATGCAACCAGCTGACCAGCCATCATTATGAAATGATTTCGCATTTTTCCCAGACTGCTTGCTGAATGACTGTGACATCACAGAATGTTTATAAGTGTTTCTATTACGGAAAAAGTAAGCCAGTCATATAGATGCTAAATTGTCCAGGCACTCTCTTAAGTCCTAAACATTGATTCCAGACGGATGTAGGCTGAGGAAGACTCTGCTAGGGTCCTGTAAGGGCTTCCACAGTTGCCTTTTGTAACATAAGAAGTGAATTTCATGTAGTGCTTTTGAGTAATCAACAGCCATTCCTACCTTGTTTCTCTAGTAAGTACACTTTTTCATTTGAATTGCATCAAGAATGCAATGTCAGGGGTAGCGCTTTTTTTCTTCTTCTTTATACAATCCTCACGGGAACTAGAAGAGGCAGCCAAACCTTTCCTAAATCAGTTGGTGAAGGCCTAAAGCTCAGTGCTCAAAATAGGCACTTCGAATTAAGCAGCGGTCTCAAGTTTGCCCTTCCTATGAGTTAAGTGCAGGAAACTCCACTTAAAAACTACAACAACCCCTTTCTCCTTGGCTCTGTAAAAGCCACAGCACAAGAATCATTGAAGTGCCCAGTCAGCAGATTTCACTTGCAGACATTTCCATTATAAAACGGAGGTTTATTCTTTTCGGTGATGTACGACAAATTTTTTGTTTTCAGAAAGTCATCGTTCAGTTTTGGAGTGTTGTTGCTGCTGCTGGATTTGCTTCGACTCTGATCCGGGGTGGGCTGGATAGGCAAAGACATGGCGACATTGTTCTTCACCAAGCAACCACACACCAGGCGAAAGAAGGCCCGGCGCATGTCTTTGCTTGCCAGCGTATAGATGACAGGATTCATGGCTGAATTGAGGACCGCTAAAGCTATGAAGCCATCTTCTTGATACAAAACTGAGCACTCTTTCACTTTGCAGGCGACGTCAATCAGCAACAAAATGAACAGGGGAGACCAGCAGGCAATGAAAACCCCAACCACGATCACAACAGTCCTCAGCAATGCCATGGACCTCTCTGAGTTGTTGTGGTTGGTGACATTCCGACTGCTTGATTTCACCAAGATGTAAATGCGGGCATAGAGGATTACAATGGCCACTAGGATGGCTATGAAGATGATGGTGCAAAATGCCACGTATTTCTTGGAGTACAGTGGTAAAATGGTGGAGCAGTCTCTTAAATTGCCAATACAGTTCCAGCCAAGGATGGGCAAAGCTCCCAGAGAAAGAGAGATAAGCCAGCATGTTCCAATAAGCAGGAAAACCCTGTACTTTTTATTGGCATCGTATGGCCTCATTTTGATCATGGTCAAATGCCGTTCTATAGCAATAGCTAACAGGCTGAGTGTAGAAGCGCCCAGCGCCACAAACATGCTGCCTTCCCGAACAAACCAGATCGTGGAAGACAAAGTCAAAGTTTTGTTTCCTGACATCAGAATGTTCACTTTGTAAACTATTCCCGCCAACAGGTCACAAAGGGCCAGGTTGCCAATAAAAAAATACATGCGGTTGTGAAATCGGTTGTTCTTCCAAATGGCAATCAGCACCATTAGGTTCTCCAGGATGATAAAGCCACAGATAATGAGAAGTGCAATGATGGTCAATTTTTTTTCTTTTCCACGGCTCAGCTTTCCAGTATAATTGTAGTGAAGTACGATCACTGGGTCCACAACTTCATTTTCTGGAAAGAATAAGAAACTAGGGGGCGCTGTGCTAACAATAGCCATGACTTAATTTGAGAGTGATGCACTTTAAACATCAAGAAACTTTTGTTCTAATTGTTTTCCACCAGGGGGAGCTCACGCCACAATCTTTAGAGCGTGGCTCTTTAAAGATGTCTCCAAGCTGATTGCATCTCAGCATCTTCAGGCTCGGCTGCCAGGACCTTTAAAAAGAAGTAAAAGACAATGTTAGTCCTTAGGCTTCCTGAATCTCATGTTGTAACAAAGTAGGAACAGGAAACTCTCCTTTAAACAGGGAGCAATCAGATCCTCAAGGCAAAGGAGATACAGGTGAGGCTACTATTATCAAACAGGTGAGGTTTATATTATAAAAGACTTTCCATATCAAATACATTGTCACTGTGCCAAAAAAGGCTAAGTTCATTTTATATCATCACATAGGACTGAAAAACGGGAGCAAGTTATTACATATTAAGGGGAAGGGCAGAATTAGTGTAGGAATGAATTTCCAAGCAATGATTTTCACAGAAAACGAAACAAAACAAGATACAAGTTAAAATATAGATACAATTGTAGACACAGGGCAGCACTGATTTGATATTTATTGACTGAAATTAAATTAGATGATATCATCTTCTCTTCTATCCTGCCACAGTCCAGAGTCATCTGCCTAGAATTCAAGGCCTGTTAAATTAGTTGAGCACAAGAGAGAAGCAATGCCACAAGGACATCTCATTTCTGGCAGTAATGATGCATTAATGGTAAAATCACAACCTCTTCATTTTTACCCTTTCAAAACACCCAAAATGTGCTGTCTGAACTTGTCAGGCTGTGCCTAATTATAGAACTGGTCCTGACTGCAACTGTCTGAAATGGCATCTTAAATGAGTAACAGACTGCAATCCAATACAAACTTTGCCTGGGAAAATGTTGCATAGAACTTGAAATAGAATTCCTTCACTTCATAGGAAAAATACTTCCTGCTGAAGCATCCAATTTCTCTCCCCTCTACTTCTTGTTTCTTAACCGCCCCCTCTTCTGCACATTCCTGATCTGATCTCTTCCTCTCCCTTTTATTAGACAGACACACTTCAATTATATTCTTTTTTTAAAAGAAAAGGGCAGCACCACTTGTAGCATCCTCTAGACCAGGGGTGCCAAACTCAAGGCCCCTGGGCCAGATTTGGCCTGCAGCATGCTTAGATCTGGCCTGCGGGCCACCCTGGAAACAGTGAAGGACTGGCCCATGGTGCCTCTGCCAATGAAAATGATGCTCAGGAGGGCTTTGTGCAGCCTTCCTGAGCTCCATTTTCACTGGCAGAGCGCTTGGGCCACCACAGGCTGGCCATGCCCCCTGGTCACGCCCCTCACCCCTGAGGTCAAACACAACCCTGATGAAGCCCTCAATGAACTTGAGTTTGACACCGCTGCTCTAGACAATGCGGCAATGAATCCCTATCCAGTGATTCAGCTTTCACAGCAACACTAGTTGTAATTAGAAAATCCATCTAGTTAAAGGCCATCTTATTAGGATNTCTCTCTCTCTCTCTCTCTCTCTCTGTCTCTTGGCTCGCCTTCGCCCTTACAGTTGCCCCATAGGTCCCACCCGATTCCCAAGCGACTCGTGCCAATTCGGATTGTGAGAAGCGAGGCGTCCCACCCCTTTCGCCCTTTAACTCCGCGCGGCGTTGCCTTCCCGCTCACCTGGCGTCCGCTCCTCTCCTTCCTTGCCCGCTCTTTGCCCGGCGCGCCTCATGCCGGCTGGAGGTTTGTTGGCGCCAAGCGCTCTGCTCTGCCGAGTCCCACTTTTGTGGGGCCAAAAGTTCCCGCTTAGCCAAGAGCGCAGCCGCAACGGGACGATCAGCGCCTCCCGACCGCGCCGTCCAGCCGAAGGAGAAAAAACTCCGCCGGCCGTGCTGCGAGCGGATGCCTCCCCCTCCTCTGCTGCTGCTCCTGCTCCGCCGCCGCCTCCTCTCGGCCTTGCGGGGCTCCTCCCGCCGAACTCTCCTCGGCGATGAGTCCCGGTTCACACGCGCCGCCACATCCTCCCCTGTTCCCCGCTGGGTTGCCTCTACATTCCTTCTCCGGCGAGCCTTGTGTCCTCCAACGCACCTCCCACGGCAGCGGCAGCCCTCAGCTCCGCGCTCTTGCCAACTGCTCCTCTCCCAGCCAGGCTGCTCAAGCCGGATCCGCTGAGTGGGAAAGCAGTCCCGCTGTTCTCCAGCGAGCAGGACCTGTGAAGGTGGCCCATTTCTGGCCGATGGGTGCGCTCTTGCACCCTTGGCGGAGAAGGAGCTCGGCTGAATTCTCTGGGCTCGGCTTCTGAGTCAATGGGCGCGGGGTGGCAAGCGCTCGGGAGGAGGAAGGGAATTCTGCTTGGCTCTCGGTCACTTCATCATTTCGTTTAAGGGCTTCTCCAGAACTGGGAAGTTTTCCCCATTGATATGGGGGAGGCTGTGGGGCAAATTTGACAAAATACTTGCCATTCCTGCTTTGGGAAAGGAATAACATCAATTAAAAAAGAAAAGAAAACCAGTAAATAGGAACTCCAAAAGAGCATAATGTTATATCTGCTGAAAATATTTCCATTCTGTGTATTTTCTGGGAAGTACTGGTATGCCTCGACTTACGACAAATATTTAGTCCAACGTTTCAGTTGTTAAGCGAGACATTTGTTAAGTGAACTTCTATTTTACGACCTCTCTTGCCACAGAGAGGCAACTGTAGTTATTAAATTAGTAACACTGTTGTTAAGTGAATCTGGCTTCCTCGATGACTTTGCCTTTGTCAAAAGGTCACAAAAGGGATCACAAGACCCCAGGACACTGCAACCGTCATAAAGCAGCTGAATTTTGATCACATGAGCATGGAGAGGCTGCAATGGTCGTAAGTGAAAAATGGCCATGTCACTTTTTTTCAGTGCTTTTGTAACTTTGAATGGTCACTAAATGAACTGTTGTAAGTCGAGGACCTTTGGTTTCCTTTCACTGGCTTTCTCTGAACGTGTCTTCACTTTCTCCAATGGTGTGTGGAGTTCTTTGTCACCATGTCGCTTTGTCACCAGGGCTTTTCTCAGCAGCGAAGTCTGCTTCAAGTCCCCCTTAGCAGGGTTGTTTTAAAAGTAATGTCTTCCCTCTTTTTGACACAATTTTTCCCTTGGAGACTTTATTGGTGCTGGGGTGGCTGATGTGGTTAAGGTGTGAAATCGGTTGCATCCACCACAAACAGTGACGAAGTCCAAATCATGACATGCTTGCAATGAGGTCACACACGCTTCATCATTTGCCTCATGCAGTGTCTGTGGAGTAAAGGGGAGGTCAGATTGATGAAAGCAGCATGACACTCCCAACCCTTTTCTTTGTGATTTATGACATCGCACTCCCACCTTAGGAGGATTGAAGTTTGAGGTGTGACATTGCAATGCCATTCGGACAAAAATCTGTGACAGGTTGCACATGTCGTTGCTTGCTGCCCCCTGTGCCCTGAAGATAATCATAGTTGGGCTCTGTCTAGCTCCCTTTGTCCTATCTGCACACTCTTTGCCATGAAAGAGTATGCAGATTAGAGTGTGTGTTACTTAAAGAGTGTGGGTTACAGGAGAGACTGAACACCAACTTCCATAGAGGCAGCTGCCTGCATAATCTCTAGCTAAAGCTCTTATTTGGGCTTCACGCTGTTTTCCACAAGCAGTAGGTCTGTTTTTTGAAACATGTGCTGCGCAGAAAAGAGATGTTCTCAATCACCGCTATAGAAATGGCCAAAGTCAAAACAAAACAAAACAAAACTCTGCATGAGATTTCTTACTCTCTCAGATCTTGGCCTCTTCTCCGTTTCTGCGTCTCCTCTGTGATGAAAAGAGACAGTATGTGGGGTGTGGGAAAGGAAAAGGTTGTTGAGAGGAGGACTCATGCGTAATCATTTTGTGTACACTACGATGGCGGGCAGTTGTGTGCACGCATGGATTCATTCATTCATTTATTTCTTTATTTTACTTTTGGTTCTGTGGTTTGGGAGTGGGAGGGGACTCGTTCCAGACAGGCAGCTGATGAGTTGCAGGGACCAGAGTAAAATCTGAACTCCGGAAGTGGAGAAAGGAAAGATGCCAGGGAAGACTTGTGGTTTAGGGAAAGAGAAGGCTGGCCATCTCAAGACCCTCTATCCTTGGGAAAATCTCAGGATAGGCTTCGGTTCTGCTCTTCATCTTATATAAGAGCTCTTGGGTTGTCTCACTGTCTGTGCAAAAAAGATCAAGAGGGAGGGAGAAAAATAAGTGGTGTATGAGCAAAACGGAGAGAATGTGGGCAAGGTGTCTTGGAGAAGGAAAGTCCCTAATTTATTTCCTCTGAACTGTTCCATTGATGACTGGAGAATCTTGAGACAGCTGCTCTGTGGCCAGAAATGTACTTTCAAGTCAGATTCCACCTGGGACATCTGTTCTTTATTTTTCCAGCTTCCTCCAACCATCCTTTCACTTCTCTTCACTTCTGAAATCATTTGCATTACTCTGGTGATTCCCCATTGAGTGTGTATGGGTGATGAGTGGGGGAAGCATTTAAGAAAGAGAGTCAAGAACTCTGGTATGAAATGGAAAAGAATGCTCTAAGAGCAAAAAGACTGGGAAAGTCCCTCCCACTTCAATCATGAGCCATCCTCCCTACCTGTGATCTGCCAGTTGGGCTATTTTGGACATGGCTTTATGATGCTCATTGCAGAACTGTGAAACTCCAGCAACTTAAAAGGTGGCTTACGCCACAATTCAAAGCATCTGTCTACCATTTACCCAACTAGCCCCACCACATGTTAAAGAGCACAATTTGTGGTTGTTTTTCCAGCTGACAAATAATGCTTGGTGGGAGGAGAAATAAAGCTACAGTCTTCTGTCCTATATAAAAACAGAAACAATCATCAGCAGAAGCAGAACGGCGGTTGGCAATGAAGCCAGTGGAATTTGTGCTGGAACCCTTTTTTGGATTGCATTTTAATGTGGCAGTCTTCATTCCCCCCCATTGCTTTGAATCCACCCCTCCTTTGTGAATTCCCATGAATTAATTCCTATGAGCTCAGCCTGGGCTTCAAACTTAAACTTGGTCAATATAGGAGGAAAGCCATAAGGAGGTTCCAGCATTGTAGATTTGAGAAATTGACAAGGCATCCAGGTAGTATGCATGAAGCCATTGCTGTCAATTCCACTATAGAATGTGGTTGCATTTTTATGTACAGTGTAAAAGAGTCCCTGCAAAAACAGCCAGTGAATTGTAATTTCTTGCATAATGAAGATGATATTATGATTGTGTTTAAATCAGATTCAATATTTTCCCTGCCCACTTCTTCATCGCTACTTTATCATATGCAGGAAGAGCCAACCACCCACTTACTATAAACATGTCTCCAGGTCCAGTAGCTGTAATTAGACACATGTGGATTTGATTTGGTGGTTATTATGTACATTGTTTTAAATGAGAGTTGGAAAAATATGAAATAATATTTGGGTCTGACGTCTGTAGAGATTCTCAGTCTTCCAGGTCATGACTATCACAAAGATGCTTTTTCGGGAGACAACTGGACTTTCTTGTTTTTTCTTTTGAAGATTTTTTACTTCTCATCCAAGAAGCTTCTTCAGCTAGTGGGGAATGGAAGGATTTATATTCCTTGAAGACAACAACCATGACCTGGATGACTGAAAATCTCTACAGATTTTTAGCTATACAATTTGGGATGAACACCCTTTGAATGGTGTGGGAGTCGGAATGGATTTCCAGAGGAAAAATTGCAGACTAAAATTGCAGAGGAAAAAATTGCAGAGTCAAACTATTCTCCAAGGCACCTGAGGGTAGAACAAGAAGCAATGAGTGGAAATTAATCAAGGAGAGAAGCAATTTAGAACAGAGGGGAAATTTCCTGAGAGTTAGAACAATTAATCAGTGGAACAAGGCCTCCAGAAGTTGTGAATGCTCCAACACTGGAAGTTTTTAAGAAGATGTTGGATAACCATTTGTCTGAAGTAGTGTAGGGTTTCCTGCCAAGGCAGGCGTTTGGACTAGAAGATCTCCAAGGTGCCTTCCAACCCTGTTATTTTGTTATTCTGACTACAGAAACCAGGACCACTACTCAGGTGACCCTAAGGACTCAGATAAACCTCCAAGTACTTCAACAACCCAACCCGCTAAAAGGATGCAAATGACCAGCTGTCTGCAAGGAATATAAATCCTTCCATTCCCCACTATTCTGTCAGAGCTGAAGAAGCTTCTTGGATGAGAAGAAAATGTCTTCAAAAGGAAAAAAAACAAGAAAGTCCAGTTGCCTCCTGAAAAAGCACCTTTGGGATTTGGATCTGACCATTATCACAGAAACACATAGACAGAAGCACAATGTCTTCAAACTGTGCATTGAGGTAGAAATATTTTAAAACAGCCCCTATGATTCTGTGCTATTATGTGTTTTCAAGACATTGGCATTCCTTTACGTCTTGCCATCATGGCTTATATTGCGTGAAATTTCTCCAGAACCCAATAGGGGCAGTGCAGACACAATGTGTGAAACTTATTTTGATGTTTGCAACAGATGAGTCAGAGAAAAGCAAAGACACTCTTAGTTTCTGACCTTTTCTCCACAGTGCAGTCTTGGAAGAGGTCAAGCTGACCAGAGCAGAGATGCTGAACAAGAACACAGAATTCTGAGAAAGTGAATGAATTCCAGATACACTGACAATAATATCAGAATATAGGCAGTTTGGGAGAAGATGCACCATTCGAAAAACTGGCAAATGCTTCGTGGCATCAGATGCTTTAAAATGCTTTAAAATATATCAAAAGAAGTTGCTTTGCTTCCAATGGTGG